TATTTCCTACAGTTCTAGTGAGAAGCAGTGACTAGTGGATTTCAACCAGATCTGTTATGATATAATAGTAACTCATTGAAGATAATGATGGATATGTCACTCAATTTCGTGGATTAATTAAAGTTAGACATTAACATCGTTAGATGCTGGCCAGATCATTGGTCTAGTGGTTAAGCACTGGCACATGAGACTGATAGGTCCTGGGTTCGAGTCTCACGAGGCAGAGTTGTGGAGGTGCATTACTTAAGTGTCCCACAATAGGATGAATCAGCACTGGATGGCCAGTGCTTCCAGGTTTTCCATAGTGGTCTAGCTTCAATTGACTCATGATTTCAACCAGTGAGATTGATTATGTAATATTGTAGTTGGCTAGTTTCTTCTATATCGGACTCTCAATAAATAGTATCCTGTTAAGTGTGTATTTAATGTAGGCTAAATCTCCCAGTAGAATGATAGATTTAATCGAGATTTATTGAAAAGCCTGAACAACACCAGTTATAGAGATAGTTTACTGAGAAAGATTAGTAAAATCAGCAAGCGTAAAGGAAGAAAACACACAGGGAAACCAAGAATGTGTGTGTGTGTGTCTTAAAAAATTCATATATATTTATGAGTGTTAATCTTACTTACTGACTTACGCCTGTTACTTCACGCGAAAGAGAATAGGCCGCTCACCAGCATTCTCCATCCAACCCTGTCCTGGGCAATCCTTTCCAGCTCTTTCCAGTTTTCATTCATCTTTTTCATATCCGCTTCTATTTCCAGACGTAATGTGTTCTTTGGCCTTCCTCTTTTCCGCTTCAAGTATGGATGAATTATTGATTGTCTATGTATTACATCTAATGGGAGAATAGATTCAAGATTGATGTGCAGAAATGTAGTCAATTAGACTCACACAAAAGTTTACATAGTGGATTAAGTGTCTAAATTACATTGGGTAGACTAATAATACCATAGTTGAATGTACTTACTACAACATATCTATTACAATCAAATCAGTTGGCCTGAATGATACCCATATCTTAACTTGAATTACATAGTTGAGTTCCTCGATCAGCAATTCTTTTAACAATAGAAGTTTAAATAATATGAATTTGATTCTAATTCAGATAAAATGGATCCTGGAACATCTTAGAACATTTGACTCACTTGTAATCGAAGTTCCTATTTGATGTTTATGGGTTTAGTTAATCATGAAGTACGTTTATCATAGTTATTTATTGACATCATTATTCTTCTCTTGATCCGCATCAGAATGGAATCTATTGTTGTTATTGTTAGAAGTATGACTACTAAAAGATGTATGATACGGACATTCACATCGCTATTGATAACTTCATTGTTAACCTCATTGTCGTTAGTAACATCCTTGTCATGCTTACCGTTGTAATATATATATTCAGCATTTAATAACTATCATAGACATTATAAGCAAAGGTGGATAGTGGCTAGCAGTGGAATCCAGGACGCGCGTTTCGTCCTATTTGGGACTCGTCAGCTGGATGTACCTGCATCTCAGAGTTGATGTTCACTCCGGGACTCGAACCCAGTACCGTCCGCTTCAAACGCCATCGCGTTATCCACTTAGCTACTCAGTCCTGATAGCCACTTGCTTGTGCAAGTGATCAAATGATCATCAAATGATTCAGGTCACTTGATTTCCAAAATTTAATGCATACGTGGTCGGATCCCTTAGTTTAGTGATCAAAATGCAACTGAATTACTAGAATTCAATCATTATTAAAACACTAGACAAATTTTATATTTTATCAGAAGGAGGTTTTGTGGAGATTTTAGTAATTTTATAGTTGAATTCATGAGTTAATTAAAACTAGACTATCACAGGAAACGTGAAAGCACTAGACAGCCGATTCATCATAGTATAAGACTCCTGAGCAGTGCGTATCTACGATCCCGCTTGCGGGATTCGTAACGAGGACCTGCGAAAACTCAATCTGTAGACCATTCATTCAGCATTCAACGATACTTATGTCTAACTTCAACCAATACACAAAATTACGCCACTATTTTCTCACAGAAGACCTGGTTGAACTCCATTGGTCAAAAATTATCACTAAAACTCCAAGAAATACCTGTTGAAGTCAATCACTAGTGAACACATGATAACTATTATCAGAAAAGAATTTTGTGGAGATTTTAGAACGAAATAGATGTCTATTGCTTCTAGATTTTTCATGGTGGTCTAACCTTATGGTTAATCTACATGATCACTTATACTCAACACTATGTATATAAGATTATTCAGGTGTACATTGATATAACTAATTATAAGACATGTTTTTCAAAAGTGTTTGAAGACATTAACTTCTAGTCTGAGCCATGTTGGTAGATGCAGACTACTTGGTTGAGGTCCGCGTGACTATCGTAACCAATGGTTGGAGACTCTAGGTGATATGGCTGAGAATTAGTCACAATGTTTTAAGTGTATACACTCTTTGTCTTCATTTAAACCGTAAGATTAAACTCACTTCATATCTTTTTTCTACGAACTAATTCTTTCTTCCTGTACTATATCCTTATATGCAATCTTTCTTTTATATATTACCACCATTGAATTAACTAGTTCTATGAATCCGGTGTTCATCTTGTTGTGCTAATTCTGCGTGGCAACTTGGACCGATGCATATATGTGCCTGGTCCTATGTTGTAGCTGACTAACTGACTGAATGACAAAAGATAAAAACTTATAAATGACTTCAATGTCCTATATGAAACACGATATATTAATGAATATTGTTAATGTATCTTCTTTTGATATATTCTAGTTCTTTATTTTCTCACCCCTCACGGCCAAAAAAAAAATTAGATTTTTTTTTAATACCCGGTACACTACATATTTGTTTATGAATTATAATGAATATACATACGACGACGAGATGATGATGATGATGATGGTGATGGTGATGACAACAACAACAACAACAACAACAACATCAGAAAATAACGAAAACTAAATGTCAATGTTTAAAACAACCTATTTCCCTTCAAATTAAATGAAGGTGTTATCGAAAAAATTTTTTTTTTATATATGAAAAAAAAAACATTTTTTTTTCCTGAAAACTTTAGTTGTCATGGTAACATTCTAAAAATGGTTACCTAATGAAGAATGAAAATATTATGCTAAGTAAGTAAATTAATATGTAGAGGAAAGTTTTAGTTTGAAAATATATCAAAGAGATAACACACAGAGATATTCATCAATACATATTCTACTTTCTGTTTTATGTCTCATATGAATTTGGCACCGAAATATTGTGAAACTATTTAATAAATATTGAAATTTCACTGGTTGAAATCATGAATCCATTGAAGCTAGACCACCATGGAAAACCTGGAAGGACTGGACGGCCGTTTCGTCCTAGTATGGGACTCCTCAGCAGTGCGCATCCACGATTCCACTCCTCGCGAGATTCGAACCCAGGACCTATCAGTCTCGCGCCAGGCGCTTAACCAACTAGACCACTGAGCCGGCATCCAACGGTGTTAATGTCTAACTTCAACCAATCCACGAAGTTGCGCCACCGTACATCATTGTCTTCAGTGAGCTGATATCTCACAACAGACCTGGATGAACTCCACTGGTAACGGCTTCTCACTAGAACTTCAGGAGTATCTCTTGATTTCAACCAGTGAAATTTCTAAAATCTCCACACAATCCCTTCTGATAAAAATATTGAAATGTTTGTTAATTTAGTTAGTTTGATTGTAGTTTATATGAATAAATTCATTATGAACTATTCATTATAGTATCATTATACTTGACTATTTACTTTAGTAATTAAATTAACTTCATAGATGAATTCATAAGTGAATGAAATCTAGATCATCATGGAAAACTTTAAAACATTAGATGATCATTTCATTTTAGTATGAGATTTTTTCAACAGTAAGCCGTACATAATCTAGCATGCTAGTGACATTCAAATTTAGGACCTATCGGTCTCGTGCGTGAATACTCAATGTTGGGGTATTCAGAAAATACCCCAGAAATTATCGAATGCTATTCCTGAATGAGAAGTAGTGTCATTTCCCCATTAGTCAATATTCTTCCAACGTGTCATCTCCTTATTGGTCAATATTTATTTGTGTCATTTCCTGAAGGTTAAATGATGTACAAATGTTATTTTCTATTTTATGGTACGATGTAGTCTGTTTGTTTGGTATATAAACAGTGGATGTTTGAAATATAACGATTCATATCTCCGAGGCTGAGACTTGTGTTCTGGAGTCAATTGGCTGAGCTAGATAGGGAAGCAGGACCAATCAGAGCTCTAGGCTGCTCGGTCGTATTTTATGCGTCACTGTTTCGATCGATAATAGGCTGCTCTCTAATAGGCGGATCACACGTTATAACAATTGGCGACGGGGATGGGATTCGAACTCACGCGGGGAAACCCCAATGGACTATTGAGTTGATATTCAATCATGTTAATGTTTAACTTTAATCAATCTATGATTATGGATACATACTGCTGAAGAGTCTCATACTAGAATGAAATAGCCATTCAGTACTTCTAGGTTTTCTATGATGGTCTAGTTTTACTTGACATATATGAATTCAACTATCAAATGACTATATTCTCCAAATAACCCCCTAGTGATAGTAATTAAGTTAACTGTTTGATAATTTGTCAACTTATTCATAAATATGATGAGACTATAATTTATGGATGAGCCAACCATATATTTTAGATTTTAGGTCTTGGATTTTTGTGTGAAATTCATTCATTCATTCATTCATTCATTCATATGGTTAACTGACATTATAGCTGATGTCATTTTATAATGAAAACTCCAATTATGATTTCTAAACTTTAATGTCCAACTGTAAACCTCAATCTCGAAAAGTGACATCAAGACGTCCAGATTGTACATGGGTAAGTTTGTTTCTAAGCTATGTATTGTGAACTAAGTTAGCAACTATTGTTTTTTTTTAAAATTTTTCTTCTATTTAAAAAAAAAACAATAATAATAAATAGCTGTTTGTGCCGGTAATTGTGGTGAACGTGGTGAATGTATCAAACCAAACACATGTATTTGTTCTGATCGACGTCTTCGTTTCAGTTGTAAAGAAGAGGATATTGATGAAGAATCAGATACAATGCAACTTGATCAAGCTGAAAGTGAGTTAATTTTATATGCTTGTAATTATAATTATACTGAATGATAACGACAATAGTTTGTTTGATATCTAATATTCTACAGAATTACTCACTTACTTACTTACACCTGTTATTCCTTGTGAAGGAGCATAGACCGACCACCAGCATTCTCCATCCAACCCTGACCTGGAGAATCTTATCCAGCTCTTTCCAGTTCTTATACATCCTTCTCATATCTGCTTCTATTTCCCGATGTAATGTGTTCGTTGGCTTTCCACTTTTCTACTTCCCTTCAGGGTTCCATGTTAGGGTTTGACTCGTGATGCAGTTTGATAATTTCTTTAATGTATGTCCTATCCATTTCCATCGTCTTTTTCTAATTTCCTCTTCAGCTGAAAGCTGGTTTGTTCTCTCTCACAATAAGCTGTTGCTGATGGTATTCGGCCAATGGATATTGAGTATCTTGTGTAGACAACTATTTATCAATACTTATACCTTCTTGATGGTAGTTGTAGTAATTCATGAAGTTTCAGCTCCGTACAGTAGAACTGCCTTGACGTTCGTATTGAAGATTGTGACTTGGATATTGGTTGATAGACAGTCTTTTTAAGTTCCACATGTTCTTCAATTGGAGGAATGCTGTCCTTGCTTTGCAAATCCTCGCCTTGACGTCTGCATCTGATCTTTCTTGTTCATACTCTTCACATTACATGTTATATTCAGTAGACAGATCTTAACTTAAACAAAGTATAAGCGTAAAGTTTAGTTAGTCTATCAGGGCAATGGTTATGATTGTTCTCTTTTATCTCAATAAGAAGTTTGTATTTTTTGTTACGAATAGACAGAATAATTGATGACTTCATGAATGATGATTATGTCATAGTTTAGCTTCCTTGAAACTTCCTGTAATTACACTGTTTAGTCATTTATGTGATAAATGACCGATATTCATGTCTGTTTATCTTCACTATTGAAAAGAATTAGATAATGATTTCCTGAATACATTTAGTATACGATGCATTCCTTAAAGGAAATGAATATTATGCTGACTACCGTTATGAATACTACTATAGTAGTGAATGAGAACACAAGTGAGGACGACTAATGTAGTTTGCTTTTTTCACATTCTGTATGATTTTGTCAAATCATAATTCCTTTCTATTTCCATTTCTGTTTATTTCAAGTTGATCTTCATAGCTTTCTGCTGTCATGCATTCCTTTTCTGATTGGTGTTATATACTACTTATGTCTACAGATGACATAAGTAGTATACACTACACTAGTACTACATCTTTTTATAAGACTACTAACACTACAACACCTGTTATTACCATTGTTATTACTCATTGTGATAATTGCTTTCGGTACTTCTACTACTCTTATCCTTGGTACCACAGCTACTGTAATGAACGAGAGCACAGATGGGCACAATTGAATGTATTTGTAAACAAATTACAGAAGTAGTTAGTAAAATCTAACAACCATATAGTAAATGCTCAATTTACAAAATATCCATCAATTGTTTCAAAAGACTGAGACTTCTTTTGTTCATGCATTTTCATACAAATTACGTTCTGTTTTCATTCTTCACTGTTCGATTTTCTTGTCTCTCTGTTGCCATACATTCTGTTCATGACAAACATCATATACTACTTATGTCCGCATAAGTAGCACACACCACAGCAGTAGTGGTCATAGTAGTAGTAGTAGTAGTAGTAGTAGTAGTAGAAGAAGAAGACTGAAAACCAAGAACATGAGTTCTGTATATATACATATATAGTACTTATGTCTACATAAGTAGCACACACCACACTATTGCTACTCCCTCCACAATGAATGTCACCTCAGTTTCTACTGATTACATCAATACAACTTATTGAAATCTTACTATTATCATGATGAATATCATAAAACGGATTAACTTAAACGCATTATTTCTGAAAAAGTAATTTATCCAAGCATTGCTACTGAACATCTGTGTTGTTGACCATATGTTAGTTTTCCAACAAAAAAAAATGTGTTTTGTATAAATATAAACTTGTTATACACTGTAGAAATTGTCTCGTTGTTTCTATGGGGGGATACATGTTATAAAATAATCAATATTAGGATAAATATATTCGTGAAATTTCCCAGGCTAGGGTTGGGTGGAGAATGGTGGTGGGCGGCTTATACTCCTCCAGGAGGAGTAAGTATATTCGTAAAAGCTAAAGGATCAGTCTTATTTACAAATGATATTATAGTGAACGAGAACACAGGCGGGACCACCAAATGTATTTGGACACAGAAATTGCAGAATCTCTTAGTAAAATCTGTGAAGGTTACGTACTTACTTACTTACGCCTGTTACTCCTTTTGAAGGAGCATAGGCCGCTCACAAAATCTGAGAAACATACAGTAAATACTTTGTTTACAAAATGTTAATCAGTTGTCTTAAGCTTGATTCTTCCTTTTGCAAACACCAGTCATTCGTCTCAGACTTTATTGTTCCTGCATTTTCATACCAATTGCTTTGTGTTCTAATTCTTCTTACTCGAACTTTTGCCGCCAGACATTCTAATCCTGACTATTGTTATATACTAATCATGTCAATATAAGTAGCACACAGCTACAAATTTCTGTAAAGATACTTCATTCTAGTTTAAGAGTACTTGATCGGTAGATTTTGATCATCATTATTAACTAGACAAACACGATATTGATCACTACTACTAAACTAGAAGTTAATTACTAACTGATTACCTAAGTAGTAACGTTTCAAATCATTAAAGTGGATGATGCAGTTCACTCAACATCCTAGATAGGCGTTGTTACTAAGTGTAAATAATCACGAAATCAAGATTTAGGTTTGCTTGTAAGATCACTTCAGATCATCTTATTATCAAAATCTTTCAACAAAGTGAAACGATAATTTGCTGTTCATCATATATCATCGAATCACTGTTTTACAATTCATAAAGATTAGATTTTCATCATTTGTATAACGTAATGATACCGCCAATTAGAGAACAGTGATTCATCGACCAAAGTGATGACGTATAAACCGGTACGAGCAGTCTAGAGTCCATATCGGTCCTTCTACATGGCTAGCTCTGAAGTGATTTGATGGATCATCTCAAAAGTAACACTTCCAGTATGCTACCAATATAATACAGATTATACGAAAGTATGTGCAGCCGGGTAGCACAATGTAAACGAATGACTGAAGAGCATATCAATGCCCATCTAGATTTGGTTACGTGCATCGTATCGTTGTCCACAAGAGGCGTTTTATAGACCCCACCACGGGAGTACCTACCGATTATATAGAAGCAACGTAGTCGAGGTTAAAAGAAATTTTTCAACCTTATCATGGCTGCGGAGGTCGACTGTTTTGGAGTCACATGGATGAGTTCCTGTACCGTATGCAATACGACTTCAGAATTACAGCATCTCTTTATAATCTTATAAAGTTTTTAAATCATGTTAAAGAAGCGCATCCACTCTAATCTTTTGAATTTGTATGATATATTCTTACTGTTCACCGACTTTTCTGATTAGCTGAGTTTTCTCAGGGCCACTGAAGATTCATTCAAGAGTCATCCATCAGTTTTGTGATAGAAAGTAAACCAAATACGATGGCAACGAATCTATAGACAAGTGGTTACATTTTTAGTCACTTAAATAGTTTCCATGGCATAAAATAGTACAGTGGTGGTTGAAAACAGTTGACAGGAAACCCTGGATCCAAGTTTTGTGCAAGGTTCAAGTGGTTCAAACGGTTGTGGACGGAATGGAAAAGGCTTTCGCTTAGCAGCCTTCCGTGTCTAGTAGCAATGAATCACGAATACCTCCAGGCAGAAACTCAGGTATATTAACGATAAAAGAAGAAAAGTAAATTGGTCAATCATAGTATGATAATATCCTTAGTCCTTAAGAATATCTCAAGTTTTCTGCTAAACGACTAGCTCAGCCGGTAGTGAATTCCAGCATTTAACTACTATTAAGGAGTAGAAGTTGTGTCTACAGTTGGTTATGTTGAGTTGTGTCGCCAGATTCTGGGTGATACACCTAAAGTTTGTGTTGAGACTAAGCTTAAGTAGATGTTTAAGGGGATATTCAGAAGTGTTTAGGACGCTGTAAGCCATTAGGAGGTCACCTCTAAGACGCTTGTACTTTAACGGGCAAAAGTTCAGTGATTGGAGGTGCTCTTCATAAGGCTTAAACTTGAGTGTCCTTATGCTTTTGGAGTGAGAGAGGAAATATTATGTTTCCGTACTCTAAATGTGTTGGGATATTCAGAAAAATATCCCAAAATTATCCTGTTAAGTCGAATACTATCCCTGAACGTGAAATGATGTCATTTTCCTATTGGTCAATATTTATTTAACGTGTCATTTCCCTGTTGGTCAAATCTTATACAAATGTTACTTTCCATTTTATGGTACGATGTAGTGTGTTTGTATGGTATATAAACAGAGTATGTTTGAAATATAATGATTCATATTGCAGAGGTTGAGACTAGCGTTCTGAACTTAACTGGCTGAGCTAGACAGGGAAGCAGGACCAACCAGAACTCCAGGCTGTTCTTACGTGTTTACGCGTCTTTGGTGAGATCGATAATTCGCTGTCCTCTAATCCGCGGCGGCCACAACATATAACAAAATGGGGACGCATAAAACTGTTGAATGTTATGTGGAAATTTGTTCCGTTAAACTGGCCAAAAATGCCCTTCAATGTTACCAGTGCAAGGTGTGCTCGAAATACATTTTTGTCACAGTTAGCGTAACACTTCAAATCGTAGGGTATCAGGATTCCTAAATCTTTTTCAACTTGGGATACTTTTAGAGTGGAGTTGTCCAAGTTGTAACTATAATCCACAACATATCTCAGATGGACTACTTTACACTTTAAAGTGTTAAATGTAAGTTTGTTATCATCTACCCAACTTTGAAGTCGAGTCAGATCTTCCTGAAGTGTCAGTATATCTTCTCCGTTGTGTATTTCTCCTTCTCTTTCACTTAAATTTCACATCATCAGCAAAAACTATTAAGTCAGACTGTACCTGTTGTAACAGATCATTTGAATAAATCAAGAAAACAAGAGGTCTTACTATTGAATCCTCATGGACCCCATTAGGAATACTTGTTCACTATCATATCATTACTACAAATTAGTTTCTATCCATTAAAAACTTAGTTTCAACTACTTAGTTACCATGTGTTTTTGTTATTTCGATTATTACCAACCATGTTTGACAAAAATTCTACTGTGTTTTTTTTTAAGTGAATTATCATCAAAAATATCAATTTTTCTTTCTTTTTTTTGTTGAAAAAAAGTTTTTCTTTTTTAAATTTTTCTCTCTTTTTTTGTTGTTGTTTTGTTTAACCTTTAAATAATTTCACACTAAAAACTTATCAGCTGATTTTGACAAAAATTTCTGTCGTTGTTGTTGTTGTTGGGGTGGGGGTGGTGGTGGTGTTTGTTCTTCCATGGTGAAATTCACTTTGTTTTAATATTCCTTCTATCTAATGTAAATGAATATAAAGATTATGGTGAAATAGTTAAACATATATTGATTTTGATGGAGTTTTGTTCTCTGAGCTGGATGGTTTGGTCGTGGAGCTTTCATTGTTCTTCTGAACGACATCATCAGCACAAACTTCAGATAGAAGTGCTGATGATGTCGTTCAGAAGAACGATGAAAGCTCCACGACCAAACCATCCAACTCAGAGAACAAAACTCCATCAAAATCATCCACCTGAGCTACAAATCTTCTCCACCATATATTGATTTGTAAGTTTAGAGGTTGTGAAGATTGTTAAGTTTTTGATTGAGATCATGAACCGATTGATGTTAGACCATCATTAAAAACCTGGAAGCAACTTCGTGGATTGGTTGAGGTTAGATATTAACATCATTGGATGCCGGCTCAATGGTCCAGTAGGTTAAGTGTTCGTGCTCAAGACTGAAGGCTCTGGGTTTAAATCCCGCGAGCGAGATCTTGGATGTGCACAGCTGAGGAGTCCCACAATAGGATGAAACAGCGGTTCAGTGATTCCAGGTTTTCAATGGTGGTTTAACATCAATTGATTCATGATCTCAATATATTCATTTGATATTGTTTTACTTGTATCTTCTTTTCATGGATGTTTAGGATTACAAGTGAACAGTTTCCTATTGGCATATGTACATCCTGTGTGGATTTACTAGATATAGCTATAATTTACAAGCGTTATAAGCAAAGATGGATAGTGGTTAGAAGTGGAATCCAGGACAAGCGTTTAGTCCTATTTAAGTCTCGTCAACTGGATGTACCAGCATCTCAGAGTTGATGTTCAATCTAGAACTCAATTCCAGTACTATTTGCTTTAAACGCTATCGCGTTATCACAGCTTATAATGCTTGTGAATTAATTTAATATCGAGGCAATATGCACAGTATGCACATATGCCAATAACAAACTGATGAATTGTAGTCCTAAACAACACTAGGAAGTTTCAAGTAAATAATACCAAGTGAAATTAAACTGCACCTCATTGTACAAGCAAGTGATTATCAGGACTCAGGAGCTATGTGGATAACGTGATAACTATTAAGGCGAACGGTACTGGGTTCGAGTTCCGGAGTGAACATCAACTCTAAGATGCTGGTACATCCAGTTGACGAGTCTTAAGTAGCACTAAACGCATGTATTGGATTCGACTGCTAACCATTGTCCATCTTTGCTTATAATCTTTATTATTATAGTTGGTTTATTTTCACTGGTATATATTCCTAGATATTTCTGGTTAACGTTTTTTAGCGAGTTGGTTCTCTACGGGTTGGTGTCGCTAACTCCATACCCAACCGTACTCCTTTATCCGGGCTTGGGACTGGCAGTAGCCCCAGAGGGGCTCCAGGAGGAGATAAATATTTCCACTTAATTGAATTAAATAAATACATACATTCAATGATAAACATTTATTTAAAGAATTCAATATTCATTATGATTGAAGAATCCAATGAAACTAATTTTTGACAATTTTCTAATATTGACGAATAAATAGCTTGAATCTTCTCATTTTAACAGCACTTTCAATAGTTGAGATCATGAGTCAATTGAAGCTAGACCTTCACCATGGAAAACCTGAAAGCACTGGACGACCGTTTCGTCCTATTGCGAGACTCCTCAGTAGTGCGCATTCACGATCCCACCCCGCGAGATTCGAACCCAGCACCCATCACTCTCGCGTATGAATGCCCAATTTTTAGACCACTGAACTGGCTGACATCCAATGGTGTTAATGTCTAACTTCAACTAATCCACGAAATTGCGGAACACATCAAATATTTTCTTCAGTGAGTCACTATCTCACAACAGATCTGGTTGAACTCCACTGGTCACTGCTTCTCACTAGAACTCTAGGAAATACCTCTTGAATCCAGTACACGGATTATGAAGAGATTTTCAAATTTCTCTAGTTTATTGCAGTTCTAATATGATGACACTTCTAGTAGAGGTTAGTAATTGTGGATATGGAATAATTACCTACCACAACTAGAATCAGAATATTTCCTAAATTCATTGAAGTTAGACTATTGGATCTAAGCTCTACAGCCTAGAAGTTATAAGATCTCTGAAAGATCCAAAGATTCTGTATTCTATATAGATGAGATAATAAATTCTGACTACTGAGGATTTATAATATAACTCCAATTGCATAATTAAACTTTTGCAACTTCCTATACCTAAATTGAATGTTTGTTTTTGATAATTTGAGAGAATTCATTCCAATATCAATTTACCAACAATCTAGCCAAATATAGAAACGGCCGTCCAGTACTTCCAGATTTTCTATGATGGTCTAGATCCAATCGACTCATAATGTCAACCATTTGAAATAAATATAGAATAGTTTAAACGTAGCTAATAGTAGAATTCAGAACGGATGACTTGTTAGTTGCTTGCCATATTTGATATATCGAAACAATCAATCCAGAATAGACATTTATCAACGAAAGATGATCAAATGGTAAATCATTCCAATCATTTTCAATTAAATTGAATATACATTTAATTATGTATCATTATCTTTTCATTTATCATTGAAAGATCAATGTCCGGATAATTGTAATGAACATGGAACATGTGATAGTGGAGCATGTATTTGTCATACAGGATATAGTGGATTAAAATGTGAAAGTAAGTGGTAGTTTTCAATAATGGCTCTTTATATATTCATAAAGATTACAATTGATTGATCACTGGATGGTGATCAATGTCATGAGTGTTTAGTCCTTATTAGTGCAGATCGAATGCTATCGACCATGTTGCAACATAGCCACCAGTCTAGGTGACTTGACACTGCGGGCACTATTGTGAGATAAGATGGTGATTGGAGGTAGTCAACAGGAAACCTTGGATCCGGGTTTCGTGCTAGTTGGCATAAATCAGCAAGGTGTACCTATAATCTTGAGGGAACTGGTGCTACCTGACAGACTTGATCCTGTGTCACCCAGCTTCACAGTCAGAGATGATAACACTGAGCTACCCGGGCTGCGACCGATCTCCTGTAGGACTGAGATGTAATGACAATTGATTGATCACTGGGTGGTGATCAATGTCTTGCTTGTCTAGTCCTTATTAGTGCAGATCGAATTCTATCGACCATGTTTCACCAGGTCCCTTAAGATTAGAGGGACACCTTGCTGATGAGTGCCAAGTAGCACGAAACACGGGTTCAGGGTTTCCTGTCGACTACCTTCAACCACCATCTAATTTATAAAGATTATTTAACTAATGTTTATCTCCTTTTCAATTATCTTTCATGATGGTGAAATAGATTATCAGATTATAATCAATATGGCACATGTTGAATAGTATACTCAAAGGATAATTAGTTATTTGTGACGAACAAAAGACATTCAGAGTGTAAGATTAAATGATTATGAAAAGGGGTTTTATGGATATTATATTAATTTTAATAGTTGAGATGATGAGTTAATTGAAGTTAGGTTAAGCGCTTGAGTGCATGACCGATAGGTCCTGCATTCAAATCTCGCGAGACGGAATCATGGATTCACACTGCTAAGGAGTCCTGAAGTAGAACGAATCGACTGTTCAGTGCTTCCAGGTTTTCCATGGTGGTTTAACTTCAACTGACTCATGATTTCAACTATTGAAATTACTCAAATCTCCACAAAACCCCTATTAATACTATATTGATAGTTTAATTAATCAGTTCTAGAGTAAATATATAAGTGGATACATGTATTCAGTCACATATTCTTAGTTGTAAACATACATACTTTATAATATAGATGAACTATTAAGGATCTAAATAATAATATTAGTCTTCAAAAGTATATATAACCAGTCGAAACATGTACAAGTTTGTGTGTGATTTACGGTTCCATACAAATCTATTCTCAAAATTATTGTCTCTGTTTATTCAATAAACATAAGCACGAAACCTAGGTTTATAGTTTTCTGTCAGTTGTCTCCAATCACCAAACGTCTTTGTATAGGATATGATAGGTTGAATTGGTCAAATTACGTATCGATCGAAAGAATACCGTCATCAATAATTACTTACTTACTTACGCCTGTTACTCCCAATGGAGGATAGGCCACCTACCAACATTCTCCAACCTACTCTGTCCTGAGCCTTCGTTTCTAGTTCTATTCAATTGTTATTCATTCTTCTCATGTCTATCTCCATTTACCGGCGTAATGTGTTCTTTGGTCTTCCTCTCTTTTCCTTTAGCCTTGAGGATTCTAAGTGAGGACGATCAAAAATCATAGACTATATAAAGTAGATACCAAAATAGAGCGTTGTTTAGATTCTAAAACGAACCAACTTTTCTGAAGCTTTCAGAACCACATTTATTGTTAAGTATTCAACCTCTATTTCCTAATAAATATCCTTTGGTGCCTTTTGTGACTTTAAGCCTGGCTACTTATTACGCTATATATTTTCTCCAATCGAAATGCAACTCATACAATCTAAGTACTGTGTCAAACTAATGACATTCGACTGGTATAAACAGTCTAGCGTCCATGTTCATCTTTTGTCCTCTTAGAACTCTGTCAGTTGAGTTCAGAACACCAATATCAGCTTTCAGTATGCAAATCATTTATTTCAGACATACTTGGTTTATATACCAGACAAACAAATCAAATCACATCATGAACAACTCAAAAGTGGTTGTGATTATGGGAGACTGTCATCATCAACTGAACATAACTAAAGAACAGTAAATCGTATCATCGAAATAGTCGATAGATCAAAATGAAACTTATAATGAGGGGAATATAAATATATACAATGTAGTTACTGAATCATTATACAATAAGAATACACGTAATACGAGTCCATAAATAGCTCTCAGAAGTTACCCATAATGTAATCTTCACCCTAGGATGTAACAATGAGATACAATGAACTGTGTAAATCTTATTTACATATGCAAGTCAGATACGATAAATGCCCTAGTACAGCTGAGAGTGAGGAAAGTCAGCTCTCCTTCTCCAAATGTAATATTAGTTCATTAATAGTTCTCAGAAGTAACTCGTAATTTCAGTCAGTCAACCAGTCAGTCAGCTGCAACATAGGACCAGGCACATATATGCATCAGTCCAAGTTGCCATACCTTACTCATTAGCACAACAAGATGGACATCGGATTCATAGAAGTAGTTAATTCAGTGGTGGTAATATATAGAAGAAAGATTGTGTATAAGGAGATAGTAAAGGAAGAAAGAATTAGTTCCTAGAAAAATATGAAGCGATTTTAATCTCTTAATTTAAGGAAGACTGAGAGTGTATACACCGAAGCCATTGTGATCGATTCTGAGCCATGTCACCCACAGTCTCCAATCATTGGTTACGATAGTCACGCGGACCCCAACCAGGTAGTCTGCATCTACCAACATGGCTCAGACCAGAAGTTAGTGACTTCAAGTACGGATGCCACGTTTTGGTTTGGCGACCCCTAACATTCTTCCAATCATCCCCGACACTAGTCAGCATTGCACGTCGTGGTAATCAGTGTTCAGGCATACGCAGTACGTGACCTAACCGTCTCAGACGATGAAGATTCATAACCTCATCAGCTGATTTACTATTATTCCCTTTTAGCCTGCGTCTAACCTCACTATTACTTACCTGGTGATCCCAGCAGATCCCAGCAATATTTCTAAGGCACCTGTGGTCAAATACTTGTAGCTTATGAGTATCTTCTACTCTTAAAGAACATGTTTCGTAATTTAATATTTCACAGTGAACAAATTTCTATTGGAATAGTCAATTAGAAACTAGTGATCTAAGTTTATACGTTCAAATGATCTGAAATAAATTGTGATATATAGACTTGATATACTACTGAAATGTTTAGTTTATCCTCTATTCATTTTTATAGTTAAACTAACAGGTGCTTGTTATACATCATTAAAACGTGGATTATGTGTTAAACCAATGCAATATAGAATATCACAATATGATTATGAATCTATTCCATTAACTCATGAAATATGTTGTAATGCATTAGGAATTGCATGGGGTGAACCATGTCAAATATGTCAAAGTACACATTGTGGTAAAGGATATGAACAAATTGATGGAGTATGTAAAGGTGAGAAGTTTGATATTTAATACTGAATGGGGTAATAATCCTTGTTTGATTACTTATAGATTACCATTACTGAATTACAAAAGTAAATCTAGTCTGGTTAGTTAACTTATGATACTTTTTCTTCTGAACAGGTAGTTATCAAGCTTATGAATGGTTGTTGTCAGAAAGGGGATTTTTTGTGAAGATTGTAGTAATTTAATAGTTGAATCCATGAGTTGATATAAGCTAGATCACCATGGAAACCTAATAGCATTGGACAACCGTTTCGTTCAGCTATGGGACTCCTCAGCAATACTCATCGACGATTGGTTGAAGTTAGACATTTATACCGTCGGATGCCGGCTCAGTCGTTGAGAGGTTAAACATTCGCATGAGAGTCCGAAGATCGTGGGTTCGAATCCTGCTCGCGTGCGCGATTGTGGATGCTTACTGCCGAGGAGTCCCATACTAGGTTGAAACGAATATTCTGTGCTTCCATGTTTGTGCGACTCAATAATTCTTTTAAAATAGAAATAATTTATTGTTATGGTAATATGTAGCTGTCAAGCACTTCTGATCCATTCATAGTACGTTTTATAAAAAGAGGAAAATTGTTTGCCTTACCCAACTCATCAATGAAATCTAAATAGTGATTAAATTGCGGCTGTTATTCACTAATTTTCTTTGTATTATTTACATCGCCAAGTGATCTTAGTTTAACAACCATTGAAAACCATGAAATACTTTGGAGAGTATTCATCCAAGTGTGAGATTTTTCAACAGTACACATACAAGATCATACCACTAGAGATTAAACTGGAAACCTTCAATCTCGTGAAAAATGCTTAATCTTTAACCCACTCAACGAACATTTAGTGATTTACATATTGAACTTCATCTGATTCATAGTGTAAAACAATCATCTTCCAATCTCAACAACAGTTAAATGAATCATATGCTATTGTCATTTTCGTCTTGATTAGTACACTCAAATAATTTTCGTAACGTATGATCATTTGGCGACAAATGTAATTGATTATATACTAGACAAATATAACGTCAATGTAACTCATTGTGGAGCATTTTCTTCTTCATGTCCGAAGTATAACAGCAGCTCCCCTGAAGCTAGTCGTTGTTATCCAACCTGCTTCCAATGTGTCACACTAATTCCAAGCACCTCCACGTTGTATCTCCTTATTTCCATAGCAATTTAGATGACTCTCACGGTCTCCCACATAATGTATAAACATTCCATGTACCTAGATTAATAGTTGCTCTGGTTGTTAGAAGAGGCATCAGTCTTGTGAATCCCGAAGAAACTCGGATTTCATCACCAGGCGTCATAACTCTTCTAATTGAAGACATTCTTACTTTCAGGGTAGACTCTAAATGATTTGAATTATTTTTTTCTGATTAGCGTTATTTTGGCAAGTTAGTTTTCTACGAGATGGAGTCGCTAACCTGATGCCCAACCCTCCTCCTTTATCTGGGCTTGGGTCTAACAGTAGCCCCAAAAGGGCTCCAGACGGAGTTACTACACAAATATACATAGAATGAATTCGACTGGATTCCTGAAATTTAGCATGTATATTGATGTTCTTATTATGCTTCATGATAATTGTTTGATGTTTTTATTTATAATAAGATATTAATGAATGTGAAGTGGATGGAGTTTGTCAACGAGGTCAATGTATCAATGAAGAAGGATCATATAAGTAAGTATTAATTGAAAACTAATTATATATAGCTAATAACTAGAAGTCAATACAGTTGCTTCATCCTTATATTAATACTCAAAGTCATGAAATCTAGGCAAATATTGATTGCATAACATCATAAGACGAACATTTACATTCTATTCAAAAGGTATGGTAAACAATGAGACAACTGGACGTCAAAGAAAATGAAATACCGAAGGATTGAGAAATGACTGCTTTAAACCATAAGTTGTGACTACAATGAAAACGTTTCTTCTTAATCTATCAAAATGCCTGAAGGATACAAAAGCTCGATGTCATACCTGACCTAAGGATCTGAAAGTTATCATATTGATCTTATATGAATTGATAGTTGATCCATTGTTGTGATGTTCTAAAGCAGAATGAAACATTGGTCAGATGGTTCTCAACTATTCTGTAATTTAATGCTAATTCGATATGTAGATCAATTTGTAGCTGAATATGAACATTGATGAGTTGGGAAAAGAATCATAAGATATTCTACTAGATCATTTAGCTCGTAGGAAAAACTCCATTGAAATAATTCACCAGAACAATAAATCTGCTACATTGACTGAAAAACAGTTTACTATTTTCAAAGTTGAATTCATGAGACCACCAGTGAAAATCTGAAAGCACTGGATGGTCGCTTCGTCCTGGTATAGGACTCTTCAGTAATGCATATCCACAGTCCTGCATGTGGAACTCGAATCCAGAACCTTCGGTCTCTCACGAGAACGCCTAACCTCTTAATCAATGAGCCGACATGCAACAGTGCGAATTTCGAACTTCCGTTGATCCATTACCTTGCACAATCCTTCATTCATTGTCTGGGGTGGATAACTGTCTCACATCCAACATGGATTGGACTGCACTGGTATTTGCTTTATTTCTTAATTCGATTTATGTGAAACTGTGCCAGGAAATAAATAAAGATGAATTGGAAAATGTTATGAAGACAAATAGTTATGATTGTGGCATAATAAAATTACTATTACTTAATATTAATTGTGATATTGTTAGGATGGAAGGAATTTATGTGATTAACTCATTGGTGCTTTCCTCAATGTGTGTCATATACACTTCCAAGCTTTATCCTGATTTCTTTCTACACTTGAATCTAGTTTGTTCTCTCCCACAGTAGATTGTTGCTGATAGTGCCTGATCAATGGGTCCGGAGTATTTTGTGTAGACAGCTGTTGATAAACACTTACATTTTCTGGATGATGACTTTCGTAGTTCTCCAAGTTTCTGTCCGATATAGCAGAACTGTCTTGATATTTATATTGAAAATTCTGACTTTGATGTTAGTTGACAGACAGTTGTTTTGCGTTCCAGATGTTCCTTAGTTGTAGATATGCTGCTCTTGCTTTGCCGATCCGTGCCTTCACATATGCATCAGATCCACCATGTTCATCAATGATGCTGCCCAAATATGTGAAGGTTTTTACATCTTCCAAATCTTCTCCCTCAAGTGTGATTCGATTCGTGCATGCTGTGTTGCATCGGAGAATCTTGCTTTTCCCTTTGTGTATGTTGAAAGCTACTACTGCTGAGATTGCTGTTACACTGGTCGTTTTCTCCTACATTTGTTGTTGCGTGTGCGACAGATGAGCCAGATCATCTGCAAAGTATAGATCGTCCGACTGCATCCTATATCTCCACTGTATCCCATGTTTACCCTCAGATGTTGATATCTTCATGATCCAGTCGATCACCAGGATAAAGAGGAAGGATGAGAGTAATCAATCTTGCCTGACACCGATCTTTACCTCGAACGAGTTTGTCAATTGTCCTCCATGCACGATTTTTCTGTTTAATCCGTACGATATAAATCTGACTTATGTCAATTCATGAGCTACTAATTTCCATACTTACAAGAAAATGATTAATTTCTAAACTCTGATCGATATTTATTATACACGAATAATTCAACCTCTGAAGATCTTCCTATTGATATCCATCAGTGTGGTTTACTGGAAACCTGAAATAATGACTCTTCAAATTAGTTCTATATTATCAAACTCTTGAACAAAATTAAGGTTGATGACTAGTTAACCTGTTCTTTGTAAACCTTTTGCAAGTACTAGAGCTGATTCTTACTTTTCCATATACCCGTTACCTGTCATGACAAAATAAATCACAGATCGAGATTATTCAACCTAATCTGTTCTCTGGTCTCTTTTCTTATCATATCCATGTGCTTTTCATCTGCTTTTAATTCCCAGTTCAACGAGTCCTTTGGTCTACCACTTTTTCTTTAAGTATCTAATTTATGACTTATGTAATGAATCAGTTTGGTGGATTTCCTCAATGTATGTCCCTACCCACCTTCAGGATCTTTATCTAATTTCCTATTCAACTGATGAATATGTGTTCGTTTGTTTGTTTTTTTTCTTTTACATTTCAGATGTAATTGCCCAGAGAATACACATTTTGATAAATCAACATTAGATTGTGTTTACACATTACGTAAGTGAATCAAATGAATTTTAGGATCCTATCAGTAATCATTAACTCAAATGATTTTAGCTCAATAACCGTAAACTTGCAGTCATCATTTACTTAAATCATCAGAAAGAGGTTTGGGTGGAGATTGTAGTATTGGTAGTAGTAGTAGTAGTAGTAGTAGTAGTAGTAGTAGTAGTAGTGGTAGTAGTAGTAGTAGTAGTTTCAGTAGTAGTAATATTATTATTATTATTATTAGTAGTAGTAGTAGTACTGGTAGTAGTAATAGTAGAAGCTGTGAGAAGTGAAATTCAAATGGGTCTGTTGTGAGATAGTAAATCTTTGAAGATAATGGTGGAAGGTGGCGCAATTTCGTGGATTAGTTAAAGTCAGACTTTAAAACAGTCGGATACCAACTCAATGGTTTCGAGCTTAAACGTTCTCGCGCGAGATCGGAAGTCCTGAGGTCATGGATGTGCACAACTGAAGATTCCCATACTAAGATGAAATGACCTTCCAATGCTTCTAGGTTTTTACATGATGATCTAGCTTTAATTGACTCATGAATTCAATTCAAATCACTAGAACTCAGTAATGGTTTAGACGTTTTTAGTTTCACTCTTCCAACTGGATAGAATACCTATCCATAGAATCGTATTGCATCTGCTTCTCAATGTTCAACATGTGTGCAATATCAAGCACTTTTGTTTGTTCATTTGATCAGTGAAAACTCTATATCTGTACATAACTTTCACCAGGGATTTCATTTCAAGTAGTTGGAATGAAACTCCTAGTAAACATTACTCATTTATATGCAAGACTAATACACGAGGATCGTTACTCTCATAGACTCCAGTTGAATTGATTATCAAAGTTGAGAAGATATGCTAAGACTTATGATTCAATAAAATATTATCTAAATTATCAATCTACCATTTTTGTTTTCCTCTAACAATAAGAATCTGGGGTAAATAATTGAAATGATGGAGAAGATTCGTAACTCAGTTGGATGATTTGATGAAGTTTTGTTTTTTGAGCTGGATGGTTTGGTCGTGGAGCTTTCAGAAGAACGATGAAAGCTCCATGACCAAATCATCGAGTCGCCAACTCAATGTCTAACCCTCCTCCTTTATTTGCGCTTGGAACCGGCAGTATCCCCAGGAGGGGCTCAAGGAGGAGTTATTCATCTTGTTAACACGTATAATACTTTTTCCACAATATAATAAGTAAATCTTCATCTTTTAATGATATCTTCCTGTTTATTAATGAATTTTGTTTTGTTTTTTTTAATCATTCATTAATTAGAAATGCCATGTGAATTAGATCCTTACAGATGTCATAATGGAGGAAAATGTATAGATCTACCAAGTGGTGATTATAAGTGTATATGTCCATGGGGAACTAGAACTTCACAAGATAGAAAATCCTGTAAGTTACCTTTTATCACTTAGTTCTTTAAAAGTAATGCTTAAAATACTTCAGACTAATAATCCATTTTATTATTTAAAGTTAATTTGCAATAAATTACAGAGAGAATTTCGAGAGAGATACTTTCCTTCTCAAAGTTATCATTTACTCAAACTGTACAATTCTATTCAGTCATTTATCAAAAAACTTTCTGAAATCCAAATATTAAAAAAAGATTTTATAATAATCGATATGTTGCCAGGAAGAGCTCTTTAATGCGTTAGCGCTGCCGAAAAAGAGGAGAGTAAGCTCTCTCACTCGTAATGATCTCACATGAACACGTGGAGACAACCACAACCATGGAATTCCTACTCATTGAGTTCTCGTGATATTACTGTTGTTTACGAAATTAAGAGGACGAAAAGCGAACGTCTGGTGTTTTAACCAAGTCGGTGTATATGGAGGATCCAGATAGAAGAGTTGAAAACTCTTGATTCTACAATAATGATACACGTGGTCTCCAGTATCCTGAAGGAACAAATGGCGTATGAATCAATCAATGGTCATCGGCTATCATGGGACTAATTATCCTGACTTTGCTCCACTGCCTTGTGGATTAGACCTTTAGGTCGAAGGCTTCGGGTGTGGCTTCCTAAGGAAAGCACGTGGTCCGATTTGGGCACCCAGGCATTATCAAAGCCCACACACACACACATACAAATCAAGTACCTTGCGTAGTGCATTTGTATTCAGTTATCCCACAAAACTTTACGGCGAGACTCTAATTTATGAACTAACCAATCAGAAGCGTCTTAGAGATTTCAAGGTCACGGTGCCAACTTCAGTGCTTAATGTTAATGTACAATCGGTTCACAGGGTATTTTGTACAAAACGTGATAATTGAGCAGCTATAATAAATAAAACGGCGAGTCTATAATTTGTGGATGAATCAATCAGGTATAAGATAACAGATCTCGGATTTGGGCGTGAAAGTCTTTCATCCATTTGGCATTATAGTTGATGTCAGTTTGTGATTAAAACCCTATATATAATTCCTAAATAAGGCAAATTATGACAATTATTGCGAACTGGATAATAAAAGCACCAGTACTACAATATATATACGGATGATTAGAGAGAGTACAGACTCCCACATAAGGTTGTTTATGTGCATCCTGTCGTTATCCACAAGTAGCATTTTGTGTACTCAACAACCGAAGTACACACAAACAATATTGGTGCTATGTGGTCTAGGCTGAAGCAGTTTTTGAGAATTTATCATGGTTCCATAGGCTGACTATTCTGTAGCCATATGGATGATTTCCTCCACTGCATTCATTACGATTTTAGAACCTCTGAACCTCTTTCTAACTTTGATAAGTTTTTGAACCACGTATATGAAGTGTATCCACTTTATTTCCTTGGTTTTGTATAAGATAGTTTTACTCTATGCTGACTGTTTGCTGATTGGCTAATATTTCTCAAGATGACTTAAGAGTCGTTCAAAGGTCGTCCATAAATTTAAGTCTCGCTTAGATATCTAAAAGATTTTGATTGGTTGTTTCGTCTTTGTGCTTATTCATCGCGATTCTACCAGACATCGAACTCAGAACATTCAAACCTCAGGATGAGTACTTAACCTTCAACCTACTTAACTATTAGCTAATGGTTTAGATATCTAACTTCAATCTATTAACAATACTTCAAAACTATGATTTATTGCTATAGGACATATATGTTTCACTCTCAATATAGTTGAACGGCACTATTGAAATGTTGTATATCAGAAAGTAGTAGTTATTCAGTTGTGCTTGATTTTCATTACTTGTCTAACTAAAGTCATAATATGACTCATAATTATGAAATCGAAAATTTCCACTATGACATTGACATACTTACTTACTTCCAAGCATCTCCAGATGGTATCTTTTCATTCCATGTACCTAAATTAATAGTTGCTCTGGTTGTTAGAAGGGGCATCAGACTCGTGACTTCCGAAGTAGTTCGGCTTTCAACATGAGACGGCGTAACTGTTCTAAATGAGGACATTCTAACTGCCAGGGTAGAGTTTAAATGATTTGAATCATTTTTTTCTGATTAGTGTTTTTTAGCGAGTTAGTTTGGTATAGATGAATATCTCGCACCATTTCTCACTCTCTCTCTCTCTCTCAGATATGCCAAATAGTTTAGTTATTTATTTGAGCAGATAAATTACAAGGGGGCACCAAATGCATATGAGCCACACAATAACAATGAAGCCAGTAGCAGTTATCATTAATTTGTGTGAGGGCTGTATTACTGACTGGAGCCTAGGTCTAATCCATAAGATAGTGGGGTAACGTAAAGAGATGCAGTCGCATGATAGCCGGTGATCAACAATCGGTTCATACGCTATTTTTTTCCTTAGGATTCTGGAGCTTATGTGTACCACTGGTTTAGAAATATAGATTTCCAACTCCTCTATCTGAATCATTCGTATCCACCAACCCGACTAAAGTGCCGGACATTCACTTTTCGTCCTCTCAATTTCGTAAACAACAGTAATGTCGTGAGAATTCAGTAAGTAGGACTTCCCTTGTAGTGGTTGTATACACGTGGTCATATGAGAGCATTTCGAATGAGAGATCTGACTGTCCTGACCCTCGGTTGTACCAGGACATTTAAGGGCATACCAAATAGTGGCTCTATATCCCTTATTCATAAAGCACAATACTACACACTTTAGCAGATATCAATTAAATCAAGATCGTATCCTAATGTGTTCAGTAGATTAATTTCATTTTTCATGATAAACAGATAAATATCAATTTAAATGGTTAATATCACGAGTCAGTTGAAGCTAGACCACCACCATGGAAAACCTGAAAGCACTGGTCGGCCATTTTGTCCTGATGTGAGACTCCTCAACAATGCGAATCTACGATTCTGCCTCATGAGATTCGAACCCAGGACCTATTAGCCTCGCGCACAGAACGCTTAAACATTAGACCACTGAGCTGGCCAGTATCCAACGGTGTTAATGTATAATTTCAACTAATCCAGGAAATTGAGCGATATATCCTCTATTGTCTTTAGTGAGTTACTATTTCACAATAGATCTGATTGAACTCCACCGGTCACTTGCTTCTCACTAGAACTCCAGGATATACCTCTTGAAGCCAGTCACTACTGACCATATATTGATTATCATCAGAAGGGGTTTTGTGGAGATTGTAGTGATTTCAATCGTTAAGATCATGAGTCAGTTGAAGCTAGACCACCATGGAAAACCTGGAACCACTGGAATTAAATTAATTACAAACAATAATTTATTCACCTTCTAAACTTTTTTCGGGCGACTTAGTAGTGTTTATAGATATTGGAGATAGTCTGTATTTGGTGCTGATTCACACTGTTTGATAAGATTGACTTACAATCATGAGCTTTACTATGCAATGGCCACGTAGTGTAGATGTATCAGTCCTATAAGGAGCGAACTGTTATCCAAGTGAGGAAATGTTAAATTCTCATACTATAAAACTGACTAACATGTGTTCAAATTCATCAGAGAGTATCAGTTCCTTTACAATTTTAGATACATTTTACTAACATGTTCAAGCTAGAACGAAACCTAGATTGAGTATGCTTTCTTATTTATCTATTTAAACATATAAATATTGGTACAAAGAAGGCACCAAATAGATATGCGCCACATAAATCATTCGATTTGTATGAGGGTTGTGATACTACTCGGGTGCCCAAACCGAACCATATGCTTTTCTTAAAAGACCTGGATGTCTAATCCACAAAGCAGTAGAGCAACATCAGGAGATGCAGTCCCGTGGTAGTCGGCGACCAACGATTGGTTCATACGCCATTTGTTCCTTCAGGATACTGGAGACCATGTGCATCATTGATTTGGAATCTAGGATTTCCAACTCCCCTATCTAGTTCCTCCATATCCACCAAACCGGTTAAAACATTAGACATTCGATTTTCTTCCACTCAATTTCGTAAACAACGGTAATATCACGAGAACTCAGTGAGTAAAACTTCCCTCGTAGTAGTTGTTTACACGTGTTCATGTGAGATCATTTCGAGTGAGAGCGCTAATTCTTCCCACTTTTGGCTATACAAGAGCATCTGAGGGCATAGTTTCTTACAGACAACTATAGCAACTCACGTTCAATTGAGTTTGCTTTCACCTAATTCGGTTAAGTCCTTTTATTAACTTATTAAACGGACAAAGTCACCTGCACTATAATAACTTAATGTATCCTTATTACTGTTGCGAATGTATGTACCTTTATTATTGTTATCCTTGTATGAGTATGTATGCTCGGCAAGCCTTACTGCCTATGCATTTATTCACGCTACTAGCTTTACTATTAACCGCTTAATTGACTCGATGATTCATTCATTTCACTATGTATATATATGTCCATGTTATTCATATTCATGACTCGCTCGCTCGTTCATTCACTCGCTCGATCGCTCTCTCTTGCCCTTGCTCTCTCTCGCTCGCTCGCTTGCCTGTTTGCGTTTCGGCACAACTATTTCATGCTTGCTTAAGGCATCTGTAATACTGGATATCTGTGTGTGGTCCCATAATAAAGGTAATTAACACTTCGTATTTGCCTTCTGATTAATATACCGTTGGAGCATTATTTGGTGACGGTTACCGAGACGTACTGTATACGGAGTTTAAGGAATATATCGAATACCGACCACCACACAACCTTCAATCCGTTCATCGTTTAAAAAACACTATTATATAATCTAAGATAAATTTGATAAAATCCCTTAAAAAATCATAATTCAAATGCATTAAGAAAGGTCATTAATAACTTATACTATAACAAGTAATGAATGTTAGATAAACTAATCATAATTACCTTTCTATTATACAATTTATAACATTACTATTTGATTACATCATTAGTTTTATAATGGTTTATTATCATCATTAAAGTATATTCATCTGAATAGTTCAATAGAATAGATCCTAATCCAATAGTCAGCTGATATTGATTCTATATGTA